GCACATATATATATATATATATATATATATATATATATATATACTGTATATGTTCAGACATGCTTTTTTCAGAACACAACTGTGGAATTGAAATTTTACAAACTTAAAACATTACTGTTGGGTGAAAAGGGTCCCTCCACTTCCATCATAGGAGTCAGTTTTTTTCTTGTCCCCTAAACTGAGGCTCTTGTTTTGTGGCGTTCAGCTGGAGCCAACGCAGAACCTGTGCTGACTGCAGCAGCTGTGTAGCTATACTGTTACATTCTCCTGGGCCGCCCAGTTCCTAAAATCCACCTTTCCAGTTCAACACAAAACACATACTCTCTTGAATGCTAAACTGCCAGAGCCATTACTCTGCATGATTCAAAATGCTCTGTCCATTAGCCTCCATTCAAACTCTCCCAACTCTTCAGGTTAAAACAATTTGTCATTCATTGAAAAATGTGGAATAAGTGGAAGCAGAAATTAGAAATTCAAATTAACCACTGGAAGACATTGAAAAAAATGATTATGGAGCTAAAATTGGGTAAATGTTTGGTGACAAATCACTGCACCATTGTTTCTGTACTTCTTCATTATTTCTTTCTACTGGAACCAGTCCAAAGAACAGTTAAAAGAAAGCAGCTCAAAATGTTACCAAATAATATTTTTTATTTAAAATTTTCTCAAAAAAAAAAAAACACTTAATACAATATTGTAGCATTAAAACAACATTAGATGGATTTAAATTAATGTTTTTATTATTATTTACTTATGTCATTCCCAACTCAAACACAAAGGGTGAATTTTTAAGTTTTCCTGGCCACTCTGTTCCATATGATGGAAAACAATTAGGAATGGGGTTGTGAAACTATTATAAAAGTGGTCCAATAAACATGATATGGTGCTATTTTTCATTTTGATTCTAGATGTCATTCACTTTAATTACATGAAAAAGTGTGGCCAAGATTTTGACCTAAAACTAGAAAGTCATACCTAATTTTGCAATGTGGAAGTTTGTTTAAATGTGCCAGACTTGTGATTTATTAACAACTATAGGTAAATAACTAGAAGAATAACAAAGTGCATTCATGATTATGATAAGAAATTAAAATAATACAGTAACAAATGCCTATTTGAACTAGGTGAAC